CACCACACCAAGGAGCTTGCTTAGTGTATCATCACCAAAGAGTATCTTTAGTTACAACAGTTGAAAATCTCTGCCAATAATGCTGAGACACATTACACATTGTGTACAGGGCATGAAAAAACTACTTTTTTTCTAACCAAATTGCACCAGACCAATTATTCTAGAAGGAACACAAGAAATACAGTGCATTCCTACTGCTCTGTCACCTGCCTTTCTTCAATCTGTCATCCTTTTGCTTCCTCCTTTAATGGGAAGACCCCAATGACCCAACCCAGGCAACAGAAGTAAACTCAAGCATAGCTTTCTTGGCTATACTCATAGAAAGGCTTGAGTTGGAAGGGACCTTAAAGATCATCTAGTTCCAATTCCCCCACTATGGGCAGGAACACTTTCCACTAGACCAGGTTGCTCAGGGCTTCATCCAACCTGACCTTGAACACTTCCAGGGCTGGGGCATCCCCAACTTCTACAGGCAACCTGTCCCTCACTGCCCTAAATGCATTCAGTCATTTTCAAGCTGTGGTTCTCTGATTCATCAGTTACTTTTTGTGGATTCTCATGAGGAGATGGAGAAAAGCAGGTTTGCACACACTATGAGACAATCATTTTCAGTATCATAATCTATGTCTGCTATCACTTTTGGTTTCCCTATGATCAGTAGCTTTTCTTCTAAATCTTGTTTGCCTTTTTTAAGCATTTTCTCAGAACAGTGGTCACTACATATCTTCCAACATTACCTTCAGGTCACACAATTAGTCTCCTCAGTTCTGTCATTTCCTCAAAATGTAGATCAGTTGAACACAAAAAAAACCAGAAACAGCAGAAAGATACTTACTGCACTTTGGGTGTAGATACAGGTCCTTGTAGATCTAGGTTCACACAGTTATGTTTGTGTTTATATTTGAGCTGGTTTCTCAGAACCCATTGGAGACACTAAGTGGAAATTACACTGCTCAGTAGGCAAATGTCACCAACTGTTAATTGAAGTAAAAAAAATTCTGGTTACAGAAAAATGTGTTTGAAGCAGAGGTGAGGAATGTGCTAATATCGAGGCTGAGTGGATTCCTTAGGAAGACCAAGTAGAAGGAGAGAGCAGTGTGAGTCTGAAGTGGATGTGCAGCACTTCAGTCAGTGTAAACATGTCATTGGAAAATGCAGTGTTCATTACCAACTAAGGACAACTCTAAATAATGTGTTGCTTCAGCTGTTAAGATTTTGGGGGTTTTTTTCTGCCCTTTCAGTTCCTCATCCCCTCCCACATACTGCTGTTTTTATATATAGCCAACACTACCAGATGTCATTTTGTCATCAGCCACCATTCCACCATCACCCTTTTCTGATGAGCATTTTGCTACTTCTCATCTTTATATTATAGCTAAGGTTTCAGTATTAGGAGAAATGGGAAGTAGAGAAAGAGATGCTTAAAAATGCCTGAAGTGTTAGTTCATACTCCATAAATGTAAACAGTAACTGATATATGCTGATATCTCTCTTTTATTTAAAAAAAAACAAACAACCTAGAACAAAACAAAACCAAATTAAAAAAAAAAAAAAACCAACCTAGAACAAAACAAAACCAAATTACTGGAAAGGATACCATTACCCTGCTATGGGATGGGATTTTCTACGTTGTTAGCAATAGAAAACATATCATTTGAAAGACTGATTGGGTTTGTGAAAGGTGGATATAGGTGATTTGACTGTTTTCTTTCTGCACTTTATCCTGTGACTCCAGTGCTCTCAGTCCCACAAAAACCAACCTAGAACAAAACAAAACCAAATTACTGGAAAGGATACCATTACCCTGCTATGGGATGGGATTTTCTACGTTGTTAGCAATAGAAAACATATCATTTGAAAGACTGATTGGGTTTGTGAAAGGTGGATATAGGTGATTTGACTGTTTTCTTTCTGCACTTTATCCTGTGACTCCAGTGCTCTCAGTCCCACAGAACACTGTCTGTCAGAATGATATATATGACTGACAAACAAGGAAACATAAACAGCAAATCAAATATAAAGAGGTCTGCAGATGGAAAGAGGAATTAGGGAAACATCTCTGGGCTGCATACAGATACATGACTAAAACCCTTCCAAGATGCCTTTTTCAAACACTGATGCACTTCCCAATGCATACATGACCAAACAAGTGGCCCACGGGCTCAAAGTGTAAAAACAATTCATTAAGACAATGATGCTTGAAGGGACAGGTTTATTATATCTCCTCCACCTTTTAATTTCTGAGCCGGTGACCAAAGCAATAATGAAACCCTTAATCCAGAAAACATTTACAGGAAATTTAGCTTCAGGTTCTCAAATGGGAAACACAATCTATTTGTGCTGTTAATTAAAAGGCTATATGGTTCTCCTCCCTTCTCACATCCCAGGTGATTCTCTAACTTTGCAATGGCATTTTTCCATACAGCAATGCTTAAAAAAATTACACTAAACACAACATAATCCTAAATAATAATTCATTTTTAATTACATGGTATAGAATACCTTGCAAACAAAAGACACTCATTCAGATTTACGGACATGTACTGTATTTTTTGGCAACCCTGGAACAAACCAGAAGAAAAAGCAAAGAGTTATTCTGTAACGATGAGAGAAAGAAACATCCATCTAAATGTAGAGGGATTCATATGGCAAAACTAAAGAAAAAATCCACACTTACAGCAGATTTTTTTTTTAATTCTTAGTGCAAGAAACATAACCAAGTTAATCACAGAATCAGTACTAATTAAGAATATGGAAAATTCTCCTATACAGAGGTAGAGTCCAGTGCACAAGGCTAAAACAATATTCAATAGTCTAAACAAGACTGAGCCAGGTTTTACGGAATTCACTTTTTAAAGTATCAGACTGTATGTACATACATACAATAAATAGACTATACAATCTTTAAAGTAGTTTAATAAACTTCACAAAAATTATAGTAGATGCATTGATATCTTTACATAATCCAAAGTTCATATCTCTATCACCCAGAAATGGATAAACCAATATTCCTGATATCAAGTTCAATGGAAAATAGTTTAGCAAAGTGTTGATAAATCAAAATATTTTACATATTTTAAAGCCTAAATTTATGCCTATAAAGGATGAATTTCAAATGCTCTGAAAATGTTCCTTTTGATACTATCTGTAAAGAGGTTTCAAATGCTGTAATTTCTTATAAACACTTTCCTTACATTCCATGTTCAAGGGAAAAATGGACTTGGATACTCACAGTTCTGATGCATTGGCACAAAAAGAAGTGATGAGAATTAGATTATTTTAAAGGCCCAAAGGACATCAGGAGAATTTATGGACAAAACCTTCATGCCTCAAAGTCCACAAATCACATTAGGAAGTTAACAGAAAGCTGTTTGGTTTTCCTACTTCAATCCTGCCAGTGCTTCTCTCCCTGGAGGCACCCAGTTAGCATTGCTCTGGGAGGAAAGTGTGCATCTCTGGGCTCCCAGGTTTGCTACAAGCCCATAGGGCTTAACAAAACAAAAATCTTTATGGGTCAGAACAGTAGTGCATAAATCAGGGACGTCCACTGCCATTCATTTCAGTGATAGTCGCAAGGATTTCGGGGAGACAACAACTTTCGGCTGTAGCTTTCTAAACTGTGCAACAAAAAAATGGGGGAACAAAAATCACCCTGGGGGCTTAGAAGCAAATATGCTTCTATTGACAAGTTATTTTCTGTAAAAGGTTCTTACAAATGCCAGGGGGACAACAGCAACAGTAAAATAGGAACTACAACAGAAGAGCTTCATAATCAGAGTTGGAAATTAAGTTCACAGTTTGATTACTTTTAATTTCTATAAGCACCTATGCTGAAAAACACGAGGGTTTGTATTTTAGCCTCCAAATCCAATCTCCTTGTGACAAATACCTTGTTAAGATTTCCATTTTGCTCTTCTACAAGCCTTCTCATTGGAACAATTTTTTTTATTATTTTTTATTTTATACAAACAGACTCACTTTGATTTAAAGTAAACATATAAAAATTGAGAGTATTGCTTGCAACAATGGACCTGGAGGTGAAGGAATGAACTAGTCAGGCCATACAAAATAAAAAAAAAATCTCCCTCAAAATGAATGAATTCTGCTAAACTTCTAATGCTATGCAAATCTGCAAAAAGGATCACAAGATCTGTTGCAAATTTCAGAGATTGGGCCCAAGTCTTATCATCATCATCTGAAGACTTTAACAACTGTATCTTTATATTACGGAAAAATAAATGATTCCAAGAACTCAGGAAGGCACACACACCCAAGTATACTATAAATAAAACACATCATGAAATTACGAAGATCTTCTGATCCCTGTACACACTTTTGGTTCAGCACTATGGTCAAGTTCTCTCTTTTGAAATACAATAAAAGGCATACAAGAAATGTAACATATGCATAATAATTAAGAAGAATAATGCTAGTAAGACAGCTTACAGAGAAAAGTGCAGTGAAAAAACCCAACGCTATTTATTCAGGGGCTTGTGCTACTGTAAATACAGTCTTATTTTCCTGCTGTGCAAGGGGAAGAATTTATCCTGGGAAGCAGCAATGAGGAATGCAAAAAAACCAACAACAACAACAATGAAAAAGATATTAAGAGAAACCTTTGAGATGGAACTCTCCCAACTTCATTCCTCTAGTGCACAGTCATCTGACTACATGGTTTGTTTTCATGCTGCCATTTCCCTTCATGAGTACAGTATAATAGAAAATGGCACAGTTCCTAAATATTTTTCTGCCTCTACTTCATTTTTTTGTTTCTTCTTCAGCACCTGATTTGCTGTTTCCTCACAGAAAGGGTAAAGCTGTTAGTGAAAGCGAGAAAAAAACCTGTTGCCCATCTTCTCTCCCGAACACTGATTTCTCCATTTCTCCTTCCACTAGGTATTTGACTCGTGTGCTACACAATGGGGAGGCACTGTAAAGGCAGCTCGACAGATTTAAAAATAAAAAAATCAAAAGTCTCTTTTTTTTCTTTATCCCCCCGCCCTCAGCCCACCCCCAAAAAATGGATGGATGAAACAGTACGTCCATAGGAATATTCCAGTCTCTGTTAGGAGATAATGGCAGGGGACCATCTAACCACAGTCAGATTGTCAGCACTGACCGACCGTTTCTTTGCAGCTTTCCTGAAGTCCTTATATTTATCTTCACACAAGCGGGAAATGGCCTGGAAGAGAAAAGATGAAAAAAGCCTCTATTGGCCACAGGGAAAGAAACACTAAATGCAGATTTCTACATAGAGGAAGAATTACAAAAACCCATTTCATTCAGCAAAACATGAAGAGCTTCTCCCCAAATCCTTGTTCTCATTTCATTAAAGACTTGCATTGCTCCACACAGCTGCTTTGGACAGATTCAGAGAGCAAATCCCAAACTTTTTCTTGGCAGGTTACCCATCACAGACCACACAGAGGGAGCTGACAGTGCTTAACACTGGTATCTGATATATAACACTTCACTGGTGAAAAATCGTGGAAAACTTCATAAAAAAATTAGAGAAAATATAAGTATATTTGGAGAATTTACAAAAATGATGGCTCCTAATTTTTTTACTTCCTAAAAGGTCTTGTAGTAATTATAATTATCTCTACGGATGGCTCCTAATTCTTTTACTTCCTAAAAAGTCTTGTAGTAATTATAATTATCTCTACTAAGAAATGGTTTGTCCAACACTTGCCCTGCTTAGCTTCCAGGGCTGCTATTTACTTGCCTTTGGGAAAGAGATGGGGATTTCTGTGTGATGAGGTTACCTTATATAGTGCCAGTGGGAAATGCCACTCATAGTCAGAATAATTTAATTCACATTATAAATACATAGTAATGTTAAAACCTTTTCAATGGTAAAAACCTTAAACCTTATTCAAATGTTGACTCCTTTTATACTACACTGGAGTGAATGTTTTATGCTTCTTCTACTGTTTTTAGCAAAGTTTAAAACAAGTATTTATTATGGACCTGACATGCATAAATACACCATGTCCTAAAATAGCCTATTAGAGTTCCTATGGTTGGCATCAGTAGAGATGTTAACTCTGGCAATCAAACATGCAGAACTGCAGAGAAAGCTCCTTGCAAGGAGGAGTGCTCAAGGTCAAATTAAAAAAGGAGATGAATTACAGCCGTATTTTTATTTACTTGGGAATGTTTTCAAGTGGTGTCTTAAGGCCTTTAATAAAAAGTACTGTACAAACAGTACAAGTGTTCGATTATAAAACAAGGCATTACAAATAATTAAACAGCCTGACTCCATGGATCATCATTTTCTTTTTTAATTTTTACTTCTAAAGAACAGCAAGTTGTAGCAGTGAAGAGTCCTTAAATTTGAATAGTCCTGCAAAGGCCAGAGGCAGGTATGACAGAAGCACACAACTCATACACCTGAGAGAAAGTTCACCTGATGCTTTGGTCAAGCCAACCACAAAACATCGTTACCCCTAACGAAAGAGCAGCAAGTTTTGTCCTGTTTTGCTCTCCCTTTGCTTCCTGGCTAAGAGGGTTCTGAACACACAAAATGTGCAGGATGCTGGGAAGCTGAAGAGACATAAAGACACTTCTCTACTAGCAACTTATATATTTTTCTCCTCTTTTTTGTCTGTTTCATCTATGGGACTGTATCTCTTTAGGGTCAAGAAAATAAAGAGCATATTTAAAAAGGGTTTGAACTATGTGCTCAAGCACCATCCTAACAATAAATAGCTCAAGCAACATACAGTCAGTTAAATTGGGAGTGCATTAATGACCACTCTACAAAATCTAACCTTGAAATGAGCACAGTGCTAAGATCACAAGCTGCAACAGGGTGGACACAAATTGTGTACTTACCCCAAATTGGAGAATCTGACTCATGTTTAGCTCAGTACATGGGAGAATAACCAAGTGCAAGAGTAGGAAATTATAAATTAGTGGATTAAGATTGGACATCCAACAACCTTCCTGGTAGAATAATCTCCCATATTAGAAAATAGTTCTCAGGAGAAGCAAAGGAAGCCCTGACATTTGACTTAATTAAAAGGAAGAAGAAAACACACTCCAACATATGTTAGTTGGAACAAACAGCATTGGCAGGTGGACAGACTGGATGATCTAATGAAAGGTTATTTGCCATTTTTAACTTGCATGATTCCATACAATGGGAAAAAAAACAAGAGGGGTCATAAAAATGGTTTCTGGCTACTAGGTGGACTGGTATAGCAAATTCAGGACACTTTAGTCCACAGTCTAAAGAAAGGTAAGAAGAGATTACTTTCAAATAGTAATTTAAAAGGGTGGACAGACTGGATGATCTAATGAAAGGTTATTTGCCATTTTTAACTTGCATGATTCCATACAATGGGAAAAAAAACAAGAGGGGTCATAAAAATGGTTTCTGGCTACTAGGTGGACTGGTATAGCAAATTCAGGACACTTTAGTCCACAGTCTAAAGAAAGGTAAGAAGAGATTACTTTCAAATAGTAATTTAAAAGGCTGCTTTGTTAGGTATAGCAAATTCAGGACACTTTAGTGCACAGTCTAAAGAAAAGTAAGAAGAAATTACTTTCAAATAGTAATTTAAAAGGCAAAGGTGCTTTGTAACTGTCAATTGTGAGAACATTGAATAAGGAAAAACATTCACTGCTCAAGAAAGTGATGTACTTTTTAACAAGTACTGCAACCTCTCAGAACACCTCTAAGCTGATGGATCTTGTCCAACATTTCCATTTGCTGAGGAACAGTATTTACTAGCCTTGTCCTTGGTCTTCTTGGGGTGGTTTATTTTCATCATCACAGGTATGTCAACCACATGATGTTTGCAGAAAATGCAATGCAGATTCTGCTGCATCAGATCTGACACTCCTGCTTTAGATACATAAAATAGCTTTAAAATGCAAAAGTAGCAAAAAATGTGTTATAACCATTTCTCCATGCAAGACCTTTCGTGATCTCAAATGCCAGAAAATAAGCTGATTTAAGTCTTAGAACTGAGCAAAGTCCTTTGAGTTTACCAGCAAAGCAAATCCTTCCCCTGCATGCAAACATTTGCTATGGGGCTGTTGTCTTTCATCAGACTGCAGCTTTCCTCTCCATATCAGAACCATCACAGCCTGTGTGGTCCTGTATCTACTCCACTTGACAATCCAGGCAACTGTTTTAAAAACAGAGAACTCTGGCCTGAACAACACACAAGAGACCTAAAGAAGTGCTGCAAATGCATTTTGATAACTTTTGGCAAGCTAAATGCTTAACTGTGCTCAGGGAGCTAGGCTATAAATTATGCTGTCAAGTAGCTTCAAGGACACACTAATGACAACCAAGTACAGCCAGGGAACAAGTTCTCTTCTTTCTGGCCACAGAACAGAGATAAGACCAACCTGGTTTCACAGCAGATACTCTTCCTCTACCCTGAAGACATCCTCTGCCTAACAGGGTTATTTACAGCCAACTTCTGCTGGCAGCACAAAGCATTCCCAACACGGGGAAATGTTTCATAATAAGGATTTATTGAAAATTATGCCATTATTTCTTTTTAAATATGCCTTTTCTTTAGTTAGTACAGAAGAATCACCAGTATTCTCTGGGTATTTACAGTAATTTCCTATTTTTCTTTTCTTCTAAGGTTTTGGGAGCTAATACTGTTACCTTCATTTGTAACCTGCTATTATACATTGACAATGCTAAGAAACTGTGTACTAAATCAAGAAGTAATTCACTTCCTTTTAATATCTGTAATGGCACTTATTATTGAGATCCCTATAACTCAGTAAACCAACTCTTACAATTTCAGATTACAGTCCAAATGAATTTTTTTGAATATTCTGTTTAAAAGAAACAAAATCTGATGCAAATTTAGATCACACTCTCACACTCCACACACAAAATTAAGTTACAATCTTATTGGAGCTATCTGCAAAATTTAGAAAGAATATTTAGAAGGAATGAGAAATACAACTTTAGTGAAATCTCCTTGGATTCTTTCTCCACCACTTTCTGATCCCATTACAGTCACAAACAAGTCAATTAACCTTCCCACGCACCATTTCCCCCACAAAAGCATGTAGAGTACTGCCTGTCTGTTTTACAGGAGCACTAGGAATTTCAGAACATGCCAAACTCACTCTAACCCACAGGCAAACAACCTCCAGTGCAAAGATGTTATGTAATTAAAGATGTGTGATGTTAAAACAGTCAGCACCTAATGACAAATTAGTAACAAAATGTGTACACACCCATACAGTAACACCCTTACTTGAAAAACATATCAGAAAAATCAGGAAAAATATATTCCATTCTTGCAAAGAGCCCACAATTAGCTGATGATCTGAATTCCTGCCATGTCTGTGGGTATTCATAGGGCCCAGCATTGCACAGGTCCAGACCATCTGACATAGTACTTTGGGCATGTGATATATTTGGGTCTCATAAGCATTCATGATTTATTCACTGAAGGTTTGTGCTCATTTCTCTTCTCCCATTACTGAGAAAAACATCACAGGAGGCGACAGACTTGGATCCACATGAAGTGGAGTAACAGCAGATAACATGGAAGAGCTATTTTCAGCAACACTTGCTGATATTCAGTCATTTAAGATGGATAATCAGTTTTAAGAAACCAAATGCCCCAAGATGCCCCTTGATGCCCCAACCCTGGCAGTGCTCAAAGCCAGGCTGGATGAGGTCTTGAGCAACCTGGTCTAGTGGGGAGGTGTCTCTGCCCATGGCAGGGGAATTGGGACTAAATGATCTATAAGGTCCAACCCCTAAAATCCTATGATTCTCTCATTCTAGGAAATGAAGACACAATACTAGACTGTGAATAGAGTAATTGTAAAACTTGTGGGCACTTTCACAAGGCCAATACAGACAATCTCAATTGAAAGAGAACTGTAAAGCTAGACAAAGTATGAAGCAAATTGGGCCAAACAGCTCTCCCCACAGCCATGAATACTCAAAGCACAAAGAAAACCATTAGAGGAATTTGGCACGTGATACTCTAATATCTCATGAGAAAATCCAAGAAGAGATGGGAGAAGGGAGAAACAACACAGAAATTCCAAAACCCCCTATATATTTAACACTGAGCAACCTAAAAAATAATGTGTCTTACCTCAAGTTTATATGCTCTGTCCCTGCTGAGGGGCTCCAAAGGAAAACTCAAGTTATTCGCTTCTGCCAGGGAACGCAAATCAAAATAATACTTGGCATAAACACTGGAGGGAACATTAATATTGAACTGCAACAGCTCAAGAAACTGGCGTTCCAGCTCATTCCTGTAGAGAAAATAAACAGGAAAATATATTTCAGACTGTGCATTCTGAATGCAATTTTACTTTAAATTGCAAATGGTATAAAGCAAGTTCATTCTTTATTCCTGCCAGATGCAATTATCCCAGCCTAAGGTTTGATCTACTCTCCCAAGTTCTATCAGTGTACGTACAACAATGAGGAATATGAGGGATGGTGCACCTGACAGCTGCTACTGCAATGCCAATCAAATCCAGACACAAAGCTTTGCTAGTGGAAGGGCACCTTCATCACTTTATCTAACACAATTTGGGAAAGAAAAGCTAGCAGGGAAAAAAATTCTTGGAGTTTCTGCTGTACCTCCACTAGGTGGGTCTGCACACACACCTATGCCAACACAACATGCACACATGCCCTAAATTTGTCAGACATCTCTCATAAATGCTGCAGATTACTCTAACACCTAAATTACTGGAGAACTTACTTACTCCCTTCAGATTTTCATAATCAAGCATTTAGAATTAGTCATAGGAAACCTGATTTTTCCAGCATATTGTTTTATCTTTATGAACAGAATAAAGCAATTTTTCCCTTAGACACGCCACCAAAATTCGTAGTGGTGATCATTTGTTTTCCAGAACCTAAACCAAACGTGTTTGTCAAAATACCTGCTAGGAAGAGAGGTCCTAGTTGAGCTCCTGTCCTGTAAAACTTTGGTACAGCAATACATTATTACCTACACCAGTCCATTACAAAGTATGTTAAGAAATAAGCCAACTAACAAAATGAAAGACTCTAAATTTTCATAAATTGCACAGTCACTAGATATCCTACATAATATTTATCCAGGGACATATGATGTGTTCAAATCAGTGATTTGGAGATATGAGAAATAGAAAAAATAAATGGGTGGTGAAAGCTGTAGATGTTTGTTGAAGAGCACAGTGCACAGTGGTGTTACCAGCAGGTATTGGCTGACCAGGATTTTGCTTTTAAGCTACATTTTGACTGCTCTGTAAGTGTGCAAGGAATGTGCAATAGAAACTGCACAATTGGCAGTAAAAGAGGAAGATCTGGGATAAAAGGTATTGGTACAGTAGTTTTTCAACACTGAATGATTTTTCTTCTTCTCACTCTTTACTCTCATATCACTCTTACAACATAATCATTGTCCTTCCTTGTCTTCACTCTTCCTCTGCCAAAATTCTATGTTTACATAATGATAAATACTAATTAACATTAAAAGACTGACTACAAGCTGGATATGGACTCTTTGGCATGAATTCACATTGTGGAAAATTCCAGTTTTGAAAAAGTGAAAAGAAAAAACCCACATTTTAAGATGTCTATTAATAAACACAGAATATTATCTCGACATGTCCTTTTATACTGCCAAGATTGTAATTTCTGCAAGTGAAGCCTAAAGGTTTATGTTAATGGATAATATAAAGCCTGTTTTAATGGCAAAAGATATGGACTGCACCTCTTTTGAAGAGCACCCTCAAATCTATAAGAAAAACACACAGCCTCAGATTCTTACTGTCCCCTAGCTCCCAGATCTGTAGATCAGCAGATCAACTACAGCTGAGAAAACACAAAAACATACAAATATTTCTGATTTGAACTAATGTGATTTAACTAATCCATCATACCATTCTTTCCCATACACCTCCAACTGCTTTAGCATGTGCTGTCCTGGGGCCACTCAAATTCCCAGAGAAATTTACTGTAATGCTACCTACATGACTACAGATTCCCACTGCATTTCAGTCCTCCCAAGTCCTCTGTTAGCTTTTAGGCACAGTTCACTGGACTGATGCTGACTTAGAAAACAATGCAAGGTCTGCATAACGTTTTGCAAGATACACTTCTGCTGAATGATTCACAGCAGTTGAAGGTTTTAACCTAGAGTTCTGCCTTACTAATGCAATGAAAGGCTTAGAGCTAGACAATTCCAAATCATCATACTGGTACTGTTCCAACTACCTGAAAAAAAAGAATGAAAAAAAAATCCACCACACTACACATAGGAGGTAACAAAATTGGAAAAACTGGCAGCAGGTCAACAAGCATCAAAATCTTTGCTGGGGGATTCACAAGGAGCCATTCACAAGGAGCCAGATCAGCAAGTACCATACAGAGAGCTCAGGCTCTCCAAAGGCTTCTGATTTTGCAGATTGTGAGAAACCTAAAATCTTTCAGAAAAGGTTAAGAAGCTAAGAACCTTGAGGACAAGGGCAGTTTGGCTGGTGGGGTGCAGAAAGAGGGCCAATGTCAGCATGGAAGCACAGGTCTGCCATGTGAGTAATGGTGTTATACAGCTCAAGTGCAACTTCTAACAGTAGCATCATCACACACGTTTGTCAAAAACAAGAACCTCTTTTTTTTGTTTCCTTTCACACTGCCTCATCACCTGCCTTCAAGAAAACCTCTGAGAATCAGCAATTTCAAAACTCACATTTATAACCAATCCTGATTAATACTGTCATACGGTACAGACAAACCTGTCACTCTGCTTCAAGCTGTTCAGTACTTCAGCTCATGGCCCAGCTTCAGAAACACTTTAAAGCACCCAGATTTGCCTTGGAGAAGGAGTGAATGGAGGGAGACCTTAACTGCTACAGAGTACTCAAAAGTATGAGCAAAAGATCAAGGGAAAAATTAACTTAACAAAATTATTTAGGAAACACTAAGTCAAGGAAGCATCATCAAATCATTCTGAATGGAATAATATTGCACACAGAAATGCAAAGGGCCTGATTTCAGTTCCTGTCTTCCTTAAACCTCCCCTTTTATTCTGGAAACCTCATTCTGTCTGGGCTGTGTCAGAAAAGAAGCATTATCAACCATCCTTAAAGTAGCTTTACACATTCTAAAACAGATACAGAAATGGCATTACGTGGTATTTCCTATCTCTGTCTTGAGATGAGTTTTCCCCAAAACTAGTGAAAGTATCTACAACATACCACAGCAATGCAAGCTTTGTGTTTTTAACTCTGACTTTGGGGAAAAAAACCCACCTTATTACGAACGGCTTGTTAATACAAGATTTAGAGATAACTTTTCTAATGCTTAAGCAATGACAGCTTATCAAAATTTCTAAGACTTATCTAGCACTGTATGAGCATTCTTAATTTAAAACAATCAGCTGATGCTTGACATTCAGCCTTTCCCTTATAGATCATTTTTAGAATGCTATAAAACTGACATACGACAAAATATTAAGATGCTAAATTAGGGCTGTTTTAGCAAAAATGCTTGGCCTTTCACTTCTCTGAGATTGCAAACTGAGATTCACAAACCAGTCTGTCTGCATAAACATTTCTTCTCATCTACTTCCCTCCTCCCAGAGGGGTTATCCACAACAATCTCTCTCCAGTGGCTATAATCCTGACTTACATGAGCTAAAGCAGAGGCAAGTCTCTATACTCCTCATTATAGATACTTAGCTGTGCATAAAAGAGCTCTGAAACACACAAATACTGCATTAAACCATACTTTTGATAATGTAATTGTGATGAGTTTTTATCAAAAGAGGTGTGCCAGTAGACTGAAAACACACAGGCCACAGTGGAAATTTCTCTTTGCAACTTGTAATACTAGATTTGTAACATTTTGGAAACTAACCCAGCAGGATACAAGGGGAAAAAACTCTCAAAATCCAAAAGCAGCAATTTTGAATAATGGCAATAAATGAGTAATCATCTATGGGTCATTAGGATCACAGAGTTTTTTTCCTGCCTTACATGTTGGTCTAGCATCTGTATGGAGAACTAACACGACAATAAATGATGCTGAAATGAATCCATGCAGGCTCACTGGATGTAGGGATTTTTGTCAAATCATACATTTCAATATTCTGCAGATCTGTTTATGTCACTGTGCATGAACATCCAGTGGTAAAATACCCTTCAACCAGAAAACAAAAATAATTCCTGTATTCTATGTAAGCAATGGTCAAGCAGACCTCATGCCATCTATCAGCATTCACCATATTTAGATACAGCACAAATACACAAACTTTATATAATTTATGACAGAACTTCCTGTCACCCTCATACACCCAGATCTTGGCATTCATTGACAAAGACAAACAAACTGCACTCACATGTCTTCGACCGTGATATCTTTCAGAATCTGGCAGTAATCCACGTTCCACACTGCCTGGTCGTCCCAAACTTTGGATGCCAGTAAAATTGCCCCCAGTACAATTCGCTTCCAGTTTGCTGGACAGATATCTATCTCTGCATAAGTTAGAAGTCTTTCAAGATATACCTGTGGAAATACATTAAAATCAAGACTTGATCTATTTTGCTATTAAGTAGGAATGATAAAACTATTCTCATAAACCCATTCCAGTGATTTTAAAACAGTAATCTGCTCTCAAGAAGATTCTTTTAGATTATTATATAACAAAGTTGTAGTTTTGAATACATATGTTTATGCCAAGCTCAAAACTGGATGTGATAAATCCATTTTGGTTGGCCTTTGCCTTCTGATCATACAACCCATTTCAAGAAGCCAAACACCAGACTCCTGAATACACCATTTCTTCTTTATCTCTGACTTATCCCTTCTTGCCACCCTAACACTGCAGAAAACCTTAATGTTATCTCATAATACTGTAAAACAAAATATCACCAGCTGTTCAAAAAATTGTTTTCCTTCCTAAGGAAGGCAAAATGCTATTTAAATACAAAATCACCTATTTCAAGTTATGTGTCGAGAGCATTACAAAAACCAGAGGTTTGACTTTTTAGTTACAGCATCACTCTGAAAAGAATTTGCTGTATAAACTTTGATATTGGGAGATCATGGAAACACAAAGCTTAGTAAAAAGCTGGGGAGATGTGAATCTCCCCAACATCTGTCCTACCTGATGGTTCTGTATAAACAAACCCCTTATACTCTGTATTGCACAAAACAACTTCTCAACTTTGTGAGCAAAACTGCTCCTTGAATTATAAACAAACACCATTCCCTGGAATTGTCCCTGGGAAGCAGAAAACTTCCTGAAAGCAACACACCATGCTAATGCAGAAAGCATACATCATACCACTCAGATTAGGAAACTAACTTAATTTGCTTCACATCAGTGCTCTTCACTGTTAATGTCAACCTTTTAAACATTAACTTTTCCCATGCAGTTTTACTAATTTTGAACGAATACTCCACATCCATGGATAAGTAAAGCATACAAAAAATCAGAAAATAATATCCTTTCTTATGTGCAGCTGCAGCTTAGAAAGAGAGAGAAAAAGAGAAAACTAAGTAAGGATTTTGCTATGGATTCAAATTCAAAGGCATTTGGAGAAGAAAAAGTAAACAGATAAGGATGATTTTTGCAATACATAGAATCATAGAATAAGTTGGATTGGAAGGGACCTTTAAAGGCCATCTAGTTCCAAGTCCCCTGCTGTGGGCAGGGACACCTTCCATTAGACCAGGTTGTTCAGAGCCCCATCCAACCTTGCCTTGGACATTTCCAGGGATGGGGCATCCACGGCTTCTTTGGGCAACCTCTTCCAGTGTGTCTCATCATCCTCACAGTAAAGAATTTCTTCCTAATATGTAATGTAACTCTACCCTCTTTCAGTTTAAAGCCATTCCCCCTTGTCATGTCACTACAAGCCCTTTTAAAAACTTTGTCTCCAACTTTCCTGTAAGCATCCTTTAGGTACTGGAAGGGCTCTCTGGAGCTTTCTCTTCTCCAGGCTGAACCAGCTTCAGCTCTCTCAGTCTGTCTTCATAGGAAAGGTGCTCCAGTCCTCTGATTAGCTTCATCACTCTCCTCTGGACTCACTTAGCAAGTCCATGCCCTTCTTATACTGGAGACCCCTGAGCTGAATGCACTACTCCAGGGGGGTCTCAGGAGTAGAGCAGAGGGGCAGAATCACCTCCCTTGACTTGTTGGTTGAGCCTCTTTTGATGCAGCCCAGAATACTGTTGATTTTCTGGGCTGCAAATGTGCATTGCCAGGTCATGTCAACTTCTTGACAATCAACACCCAAAAGTCCTTCTCCTCAGATCTGCTCTCAATCCATTTTCTGCCCAGCCTGTATTTGTGCTTGGGATTGCCCTGACCCAGGTGCAGGACCTTGCACTTAGCCTTGCACAGGTGCACCTCCTCAAGCCTGTCAAGGTCTCTATGGATGGTAAATGAACTTACACCAAGTAAAAAGGAAGAGTAAACTTGCTACTATTTTCCCACCAGCACATGCTTGTGAAATCAGCTTTAAAAATTAAATAGGAGCTTTGTAAGACACTATTCCTACACCACCTTCATTACCATATTGGTGCTCCTTCCAATAGTATGTTGAGGGATGTGGGTAATCACTCCTGCTTCCTTGGTGATAACTAGGGCTTAACTCCAGATACAGTTTGCTGGAATGAGGCTCTGTATCATCCTTTGATAAAACTGAAGATGGTAAGTAGCTCTCCAGGAGAAAGGTGCTTAGTGTGGCTTTCGTCTCCTTTCTTGAAAACGCATTGAAAGAGAACATTTTGTTTTATTCATTTGCTGTGGTCTCCTTGGCTCAGTCTTAGGTTTTAAGCATATGTGTTCAAGTAAGAGAAGACAGAAAAAGAACAAGACTTCTTGCAGTAAACATTTGTAAAAGCTTATCAAGGTCCTCAGCTAATGTGGGAACTCACTGTAACCTAAGACTCATGACAGCATCAGTGTATCTTTGGGAGACATTACTGTAGTTCTTCAGCTTTCTACAAAGCTTGTTCAGCTCCACATGCAGTCTTTGTTCTAGCTCTATCTAGCTCTAGTTTGGGGAGAACCCATTGACTGCAGACAGGGAAACTTAGGCAGAGGAAAGTCTGGTACACACTTGAACTCTCACGCTGCTCATGTAGAGCAACCTCCTAACAGCAGCATACACACAGCCAAGTGAGCTCTGTCTCCAATGCAAATGTGCCAAAATTCATTATTCCTGACAAATGGAGCTCTTGGTGCTGGCTTCATCTCAGAGCATTTCAATATACAAGGTCCCAGTGGGACACAGTATCAGCCCAAGCACCAATGATGGGACATCAGAGTAGGACAGGTAGAGTCTGCCAGGCCCTCAGTAGCCTTTGCTACTAAGGGGATGCTTCTGGCTGCTGTGAAGATGTGCTGAATCATTACAGACTCCTGGAGAAGGGCCAGGTGACTAGGCCTGTTTGAAGAGGAAGGCTGGTGGGGTGGTTAGTCACTACACTACTCATCCCAAACAAACTTATGGCTGGTGGGAGAACACCACCTGCTTTTGCTGGCAGAAGCCAGCGAGTCTTCCCACACATGCAGGCAGGCATGCTCCACCCCATTTAAAAAAAAATTTAAAAAATCAGTGAAAATGTTGGCCCTGTAATGGTGAATGTGAGATATGGAAATACCATGTGTATGCAATCATGTCCACACATTGAATAGTGTCTTAAACACTGGGGTCATTTCCTTAAATACAGGTTTTGTATCAGACTTGGGATTCTGAGTGTAGTATGTGGTTCAGTGTATTTGTCTGTTGTAATGAATTTTACTGGCTTAATTTTCAAAAGCAGAACACTTTCTACATTTTCTTTAGAACTAGCTGCTATGAAGTCATATAATAAAGCTGAATTTTAAAAGATCACAGTAGAAAAGAATATTACAACTCACATCCCAGAATGCTGGAAGAAATTTACTTATGTGTCAAAAGACCAAAAAAATTGTAGAAGAAACAATGTGAGAAATGCTTTTTTTCCTAAACAAAAGTCAGAAAACCTCCTCTCCTTTGATTTATTGTGGCAGGTGTTCCTTTCAGAACCAGAACTAATAAGCTTTTAGTATTTACAAGTATAATTTGCTCCACCCAAGTTTAACAGCTGTATCCATGCTCAAGAATGGAACTAAAGCTTGAAACAAATTGAAGCTGTTATATAGCTTTTACTTTCTTCAATTTAATTCATTGTGCACAGTGCCTGAAAGTAACCTTTCATGGCAAAATGTTTCAGTACTTCTCTCTTAAACATTCAAAAGCTGAATTCCCAAAAGACACAGATTTATTCTGCTTTAATTCAACACCTGGATCTGCCCAAACACTTTAGTAGCATCCAACAGCCATCTTCACCACACTTACCACTGCCCACTTAGTTCTATGACTCTATGTTTATATATATTTTTACAGAATGATAACAGGAGTACCTAAATAGTTTAAGTTACTTTTGTGACATTAGCAGAAACTTTAACGACTTCAGTCAAACAACATCTCATTCTCCATTTTTCCCAGTTTACAAAGAACAACTCAGTGTTAATACCAACAACACTACAATACTGAAAACTCATTTATATCATAATTCAATTCTTGGCTGAAATGAAAATGCAATTCTGATTGGGAAAATGCCAATGGACACTGCTCTATCAATACATTTTTACTGACAATCTCAATACCTCAGAGTATATCCCTCCATTATTAGTCTACTGCATTTGGGAATGAACCACATGGTTTTACATGACTGTCAGTCTAACAAGTTTTGATGGACAACACTTGCACCTCGTTGGGGACATTTGATAACTGAGTACAGGTTAGAAGATACACTCTACAGAGTTGAGATTTCAGAAGAGCAATATTGGATTTTCCATCTCTTCCCACAGGCTTATACCAAGACTTCACAATGATTGACCTTTATACTTGGAGGATCAGCAAATTATTATTTAATCGTAACTGAAACAAATTGGGTGATTTGCCTTTGTTAAGAACCCATTTATCTGAATGAAAAAGAATTTATTTCTCCTAATTAAATGAAATTACCACTCCATGGGTATAGATAATCCCAGATTGGCTTCGAGTTCAATGAACTCTGGAGAGGTTCATTAGCTTAGATGCAGCACCACAGGAACGTAGTTAAATGGCTTCTAAAGCCATTTCAGGTCCAGCAGAGGTACAGAACTGATTTGTTTCAGCACACATCTTCAGCTCACAAATCTGCCAGACCTGAAATGACTCCATGCTGACCTAGTTTGAGTGCCTCTGCTCTTGATTCTCAAGACCTGGGCTTGCAATGGCATGGTGGAGAATGGCACTTTGCCATCCATTATAACCACTACTCCTTGGGGACTTTTTGAATCCAAACACAGAACTGTACCATAGCACAAACTAACAGGATCAGCTCCTGCAGTGCTGCTCCAGCAGAGCCACTCCTGAGCCAGAACTAATCCCTGGGGTGATTATCTGCAGTTGGGTGAATCCATCCTGCACTTTCCAAGCGTCTGAGAGTAACCACAGTATCCAGTGCTGCCCCAGTTATCTAGG